TCGCAAGATCAATCAGTATTTTGCCTCAGTCCTTCTGAATTGTGTGCAAGGCCAAACCCCCCCCCCCCCCAAAAAAAACCCCCAACCAAATACCACAACTGTAGCATTGAATGATAGTTCTGAATCTGTCTTGTACTCAGAGCTGGGAATGGCATACACGTTTGCATAATGTACGTGTACATGTACCTGCACCTATGTACAATAATATTCTTAAGCCAAGTACTTCTTTTCTCAGAATGTACGTACATTGTAGTAAAACACGTAAGGATACATACTGTGTTGCAAATGTATTTTGAAGATTCTGCAGGTACTAGTTCCAGTATAGGTGAAAAAGTACTCAGTATTACAGAAGTGGATTTAATAGGCTCAGTACTTCACTTGCTCATAACACACCAACAAAAAGAAAGAAAAGAATTCAAATTTTTACGTGAACATTTTAAATTGTGAAAGAACATTTTGTGATTGTGGCAAACCTAGTTTGTATTTTTTTTAAAATCTGGTTTAAAACTAAAAGGATTCAAAGTTGGTCAAAAGTTAGATCCTGTGGTAATATTATCAGATGAAAATCCTGGCTGTCTGTTTTCCCAGCTTTTACAAATACTTTTACAAATACTGTGAAATCATGTCATGTTTTTCTCCCCAGTGAGAGATGTTTGTCCCACATGCGTTCATGCATGTCAGGACAAATTAGAAAGAAGCAGAGGGAACTTTGCACGGTTTCTATATATGATCAACGCTTTGAAATATGGAGCAAACAGGAACAGTTTGCGTGCATAACATTGTTTGTTTGACTCTGGCGGAGGTGAAGGTCTGCTACTGTCATTTGTTTGCAGTGTGGCTTTTGAAAAAAAAAACACGTTCAAGGCGAAAGTCTGCTCTTCCAAACATGCTGGTTGCGCAAACTTTAAAATGTCTGTGTTGAAGAGACCACTTTTTACTGAGTGGGTTTACATGTGAATACAAAACACACGGATCTTTCATCATTTTCTGGAAGTTAACAAAGTTCATGGGCGCACCGACAAAGCCGGTCTCCCAACTTCTGTTGTTAAAGACAACATTTGTTTTGTACCGTGCAGACATAGATTCACTGATACACAAAAATCACAATGGTTCCTGGCACCACTTACCGGTACGTGACAGACGGTTTTTTGTAATTGTCTGCAAAGCTTCCAAGAATTTTGGTCTTCCCTGATTCCATTTTAAAAACAGGCAGCCTTCCAAGCACTGAAGGTTTAGACACACAGGTTGCTGAAATGGACACCAGATTTTTTTTCTTTTTTAGAAAGCTATCATCACCATGGGTGTCTGAGATCTTTAAAGCAGGCGTCTTCCCCTGCAGGAGTTTTCTTAAGAATTCTCACCGACCTGCAGGTGGTAAATGGACAAAGCGGGGGTCGGCAAAGTGATTCTGATAATCATTGCTGCGAGGCCCGAGAAAAAATTGACACGAAGAGGCCAAGATTGTAACAGAAAACTCCCCCTCTTTCTCCCTGACCCAACGCTGGTACTATAACTTCTCCGTCACTGATCCGGGGCTTATTACCACTTTAGCACCTTGGATCATCCACGGGCTCCTGACTCTCGCCACTGTCGGCTCCTTCTTGTGATTTTTTTTCTCCAGCTTGGCCCCTGGGCTGTGTTGTTCCTGGCTTCTTTTGTAGTGTCCGATCAGCTCTTGGCTTCTGTAAGAGCGAGGCTTCTTAATGATGGTTCTGCGGGACCCCTGTGTAAAACTAATCCTTTGGCCTCGGGATGAAACCCGATTTTTTCGGGAGTTCTCTTTTGAGAGGACTGACCCGCTTAGACCTGACGCGGGGCAGTTTCTTTGGAGACTGGTGGTTTTTCGGGGGGAGAAGGCTGCTGGATCAGAGGTTCAGCAGCATGTGTACAAGCCAATTTTAAAGGCTTTACAATTTGACAAATGTTCATTACGCCTAACGAATTTGCCAATTTTTATTTATTGGAAGATCAGTGAGTGAGTCAAAGCAGCCTAAAGCGCGACACCCTTTTTTTAGTGCAAGCTTAATACGAGTAGGTCTCCTAAGAAAGCGATTGTGCTACTTTTTTGAATGGGCTACAACAAGTATGTCCCAGTTTTCTGGAATTCAGATTGTCGTTCTGACTTCAATATCAAACCACAACCTTTTAAGTTCAAGACTATACTGAAATCTGATAGGTGTGCCATTTTCACTGGCATTATGCACGTGTACATCTACACATCCCTCAAAAGGCCTTTTCACACTAGACAAAATCTTGGTGGGTGGCTTCGGGGTAACGCAGGGTCAAAATAAGCCAGGTTTCACACTTGAAATTTGGTCGGATGTTGGATGTTTTAACAAATATCTGAATTTGGTAATGAAGACCTCAGTATTTTCATACAGAGTTGCCGCAGGTTAAAGACTTTGAGTGTGAAACCTTCCTGCAAATTCCTGGGGCGAAATTGCCCCGGGGTGATATACATATTAACACGATTAGCGGGAAACAAGGCTGAAACGAAGTCACCCCGTGGTGGCCCCGGGGAGAACTCGCCCCGGGGATAGAGGCTCTAGTGTGAAAAGGCGAAATACTCTTGTCTACATTTGTGGGATAAGAAGAGATATGTACACGTACATGTACATGTATGTATTTTAGTTTGTTCAGTGAATAATTTGTTGGGTGGAGCCAAGTATAAATGTCAGACAACTGGGAATCTTGCCAAAGACCTCTCGAGACGTTGGCGGGCTTGCATTATCCCTATCTAGGGTGCCCTGAGTCCACGAAAATCCCCACCCAGGTTTTGCTGTGTGACGGATTCACGGGTGTAGACATAGACTGTTCATGCCCCAATTTTGGTGAAGTACAAAGTAAAGATTTTAGCATAGTGCAACACTGTACAGAGTTTAACACATCGGCGGATTCAAGATTACTGCTAGCCAAAATGCTACCTGTACACATCGTGCCCTTTTGAACTTGGAGTCCGTTAATTTTATTTCTACGCAGTTTACACCATAATATTATAAAATACATATAGACTTGCAAGAGTAGACATCATCTGATAAGGAGTTACAAGTAAGATTAATGAGGTTTTCCAGGTCTCATTTCAAAAAAGTAATGATGCAGATCCTGAACGACATGTACGAATTGTCAAACCCGTTTATGATTCAGGAAATTTGAAATCTGTCACCATCAAATAGACCCTTGACTTTGATGAACCTGAAGATAAAGATCTTCAATCTATTCATCATTTTGATTGTTCATTCCCCCCCCCCTTTCAGATTTTTAGCCCAAATTTCTCACAAGTCCTACTCCACACTGACCCAGATACAAACACAGGCGCACAAAAAGAAAGAATGGGAGGGGTGGCCGGACTAAAAAAGAGAGAGCTAGAGCTTTGAATTTGGGGTACTGCATTGGCCCCATTGTGCGACCGTGGTCTTGTAATTCTCCTGATGCCAACGATTACTTGCCCCACTTTATTGACAATCGGGAGTTATATTACGGTCCGCACTGGGAGCCCGAATTGGGGTTAGTACACATGTAAGTACAAGACTCCTATCAAAGGCCAATCATTGTTAACATCTAAAGTGCATGTTTAACAGTTTCCACGTTTTTGTGGCGTGGTAGCCCTGACCCTGTTTGCGATCTGGCCAGGCACAATGCACCGGTACGCGTTCTCCCCTCACCGGTGCGCTCCCTATTGAGCCTGCAAATATTTCAGACGCGGGGTTTTGTTTTTCATCCCCGACGCAGCGCTTTTGTGCGCTCGGGAAGACGGACAGGTGTTGTGGACGTGGATATTGTGTGCAGGAGGGCCTGTTTAAATATCTGAAATTTCCCCTGACCCAGATTCTGAAAGGGGTTCCGGAGAAAAGGTTATGGGGACAAGCGCCCTCAAAGCCTCACTTCCCTCCCCCTCCAAAGCCGGCGTGCCCTGAATATTAACGATAAAAGTAAGAAAGAGCATGTGAACGCAGATTAGCTTGTTGTGGGATTTTAAAAGGGGATCATTACATTAAAAGGGTGTTCCGGGGAAGAGGAAACTGCAGAAGAAAGGGTGTGAGAAGGTTCCGAAAACGAAGAGGACCTTTTTTTGGCGTGAATAAGTTACATTGTACTCCCCACCCTTAATTTGTTTTCAAAAACCAAAATTCCCTCCAATCATTATCAAAATCCTCCACACCATGTCATACTTCCTGTTTACTCCAAGAACTTGTGTTGCTTACAACCCTCTACAAATAAGGTTGAAGTTGTGAAACCTTCTGTTCTTTTTGGAGACTTCCACACCATGTAGTTTGGTGGGAACTTGAAACTCCCCCTTTTTTTTGCAAGTCCCGGCTAGACAATATCTTCTGGGTGACAGCAAACTGCTTTCAAAAGTCTGTATAGACAACTTAAATGTAAACTAAAGAGACGGACAGTTACAGGCAAGCGGGGAAATGTTCCGATAGAGCAATTGGATAGAAATGGATACAAATTGAATCCATGCTGCTTGATTTCCTAATAATTTCTGCAAAATGCTCTTCTGAATAAGCCATTTCGGAGTTACAAAAATGTACTACTGCACGTGCGCACATCAGATTCAACGCACATCAGATTCAACGATTTAGTGTCGGAGGATAATCAAAGCAGATAAGTCTGTGGGGGAGGTGGTAATCGAATCCACATTTTGCAATTTTGTTCTAGTAAAACAGAAGATGGAAATTTTTGTTCGCACAAAAGTTGGAGCACACGAAACAACGTAAACCATGGTGCCGTTGAAAACAATCAACATTTTGCATCTACTTCAAAATACGAACTTTTCTTTAATTTCGTTGGTACCCTGCTATGATTTTGCACGCGTGTGGCGAACTGTTTATCCCCCGACCCTAATCGTTGTCATGGGATGTGCGCATGCACAGGAGTACATTTTTGTAACTCCGAAATGGCTTATTACAGGATCAGTTTGCAAGTAGAAGGTGTGCTACCTGCCTTGTTTATTTTCAACATCTCATGACGAGATTTCATTTAATTTTTGTTGCCAGGCGACTGGATGGAAATCAGCTACAAAGCCTGCCCGAGCTGGTCTTTTCAAGTATGGACTCCCTCTTCAGACTGTGAGTAAACAAATTACATTTGCACCCTTGATTCACATGGGGCCAGTCTGAAATGTCTTTTAGATTTCGTGACCGCGCCCCCTCTCCCTCCTTTTCCAAACTCCGAAAAATGTGCTATCCCAAGTATAGACAAAACTGGATCAAGCATTTGCTGCAGGAACAAGGCTTCAGTGTTCATAAAGGGGAGAGAAAAATGTGTGGGGTTGGGGGCATTAGGGAAACCTTTGACCGCTTCAAAGTTGATCAGCAGTAGTTCAGGAAAATCAGCATTGCAGCTGCTGGGAGAAACAGGTTGTCTTTTGTACCCATGCCGAGTTTTTTTCCCGTGTTGAATTTGAGTTTGAGTAATGCGCAAGGGAAATGGGGGAATGCAAGCACAGATGGAAATTTGTCGTGCTTATATGCAGGTAGGATAATGGGAATTGGAATTGTTTTCTGATTCTTTCTGCTCAAGTTTTAACAGTTTCTGCCAAATAAACAAACTGTGGTTTTTGTGAAAGATGGCAGTGTAGAAAGCAGGATTTGGTACAAATGCTAGTATTGTGTGCATTGCGTCATGGGTAAAATGCCAAGTGAAAGCAATTCCATCGGGATACACATGTAGTTCACAGTCATGGCCTGGTGCCGATAGCAAGAGGAATCGGCCTTGAAATTTCCAAAAAACGTGAGCTGTGTCAGTAGAGTTTCAGGGAAACTTTTCGCAAAATAAAAGGTCATCGAAGATGTATTGCCCGCGCGAGGGCTTTCGGTATATATCAACCAGTCCCACAAGAACTTGGCCAGGAAGTGCCCCTAGGACGTGCTGACCTGACAGAAAACCCCCATCAGGCCGTATTAATCTTGCTGTCATTTTTTATCTTGTTACCATCAGCCGGGCCGAAATTGCTTATTAATTCAGTCAACGAAGAAAATATATTACCGGCTTTTTCATTTTTCCATTTTCCTTTTGATCGGCGGCTTTTATCGAGAGCCGGTGCGTCACGCTCAGTTGACGCCATTCAACGGTTGATATTTCCCCAAGCTTTTGTTCCGAAAGGGGAGAAGTCAGTTGTCTGTGGGAAAGTCGTGGGCTTCCTGGGTTTTAAATTGAACTAACCCTGACGTGTTTGAGGGAAACCACATTCATTTTTTTGGTCAATAGAGCTATCAATTACCGAGATTGGGAGGCCCACCTGTTTATAGAGAACCAAAAATTGTTCTTTCACTGCCATTTTTGTTACCGTGATGTCGTTTCCGCTCCAGGAAATATTTCGACTGGAGATCAGGAGGCCCAACTTTTTTTTTAACGGGTCTTTGAGGTGGGGAATGAAGTTGTTGTTTGAGGCAAGAAGTGCACATGAACTTGTTACATGAACTGCTTTTGAGAAGTAGGGTTTTGTCAACAACTTTTCAACCAAACTAGGCTACAGTTGTAGGCATGAACATGTTTGTAGGTATTTGCAGCACATTGATAGTACGTGTACATGTACCGGAATATTTGAAAAAGGGCTTTATAGCTTTACAGTGTAAACTGCAACGTTCGTGAGCGTCATCCGTTGCACGTTAAAATGCACAGATATCTGTTTTGATTTTCAGTATAGCCTGGTTTTCATTTTGAAAATATCCTCAAATGGCATTCAAAACCTTTCTTTTTCATTGTCTGAGAAGTAACTAAGTAATATGTCAAGTTGGTTACAGGAACCCGATCCCATAATCTGGAACCAGTTCCTGACATCAGCGGTCGGGTACCAGGGTACCCAGTTCCGATGCATAACCCTAGTTGTAATTTACACCAGTACTACAATGTGGGTCTGTAAATTTGTAGACTGTCGTGAAAATTTAGTCAGACAAAATGTCGTAGTGTGTACTTAACTCAGGTACGTGTAGGTTTTTTTTAATGGATACACGTAGTCCTCGTATACACTGATCTTTCCAACTGAAACAGCATTGATCAATGCCTTTTTGTCTGCGTGGAGGCATTTTTTTCCTGCAATTTGTAGCAGTTGAATTCCACTGCTGATTGTCACAAGACCATTCTTAGCGAGGTGTGAAGTTGGCACTTGGTTGAACAATGTCATGCTGTCTGCTTGTTCCCTCTAAGCCATCCATTACAAAAAAAGGGGGGGGGGCGATCTGTACTATTTTTGAGTCAAGGTTGAACATATAGGGTCAAAACGGCAACAAGAATTTAATTTTCTTGGTTTTTGTGCTCGACCTGTTTGTCAGTTGTCTGTCACGCAAATTTTTTTTTTTAACCACAACAACTTGCTCACTTCAGAGGGCGGGATTGCCAAATCTGACGTGACAAGGTTAATCCCAGTGGATTAGGCTTTTGATCCAAAATATTTGGGTATCAGAAAAATATCCTAAAAATAATGTTGAATGATGATGTCTAGTCTATGGCCTATATTTTTGACCATGCAGATTTCAGGCATGCAATATTTCCTTGGATCAGCTGATTTCCTCTAGTTTTTTTTGTTTTTTTGTTTTGCTTCACACTTAAGGCCTATCCCATCAAAAATTGAAAGCACCGTATAAAGTCTTTTAAAGTTTGGAATTTACTTCTTTTTTAGTTACTTGTTAGATGCATGGTTGAGAATTTGAAAGCCAGCAAAAATATGATCTGTTTACATGACATTTAACTTTAAGACAAACGTCAAGATTTGAGATTTTTTAGAATCATCGGACCATGTAGGTAGCTGGTATACCACACTTTGTTGGGTTATTGACTCGAAACGTCTGGCATCCTTTGATGTGCCAATTTCACCCCGGACAATTTTTTTTAAGGTTAACTGTTTTCATTTTTTAAATACTATCACTCTCAGCCCAGATGTTAAATCTTTCAACTTTCTGTGATGATGAATTCGCTTCTCCGATTTCAAACTTTGCATGGCCCTCCTTTTTTTTTTTTTTTTTTTTTTTTTTTTTTTCGCTAAATGGAGCGTGCCAGAATGCAAAAGTGGAATCCTCCTCATTACATCCAGATGGAACCAGGGAGTTTAATTTGCTTTCATTCCATCCCCTGTAGTGGTCAATCTTTTTCTTCTGTTAGGATCGAAGGATAGGACATTACCCCTCGGTTCGTTTTAAATGCCTGGCCTGATGCCTGCCTTTGGTGCCAGCCAGCCAGCACTAAAACACTGCACTCCAGCTGGTCCCGATCACTCAACAGTACATGAAGTATGCGCCCCTACTGTTGATGATTACAATTATGATGTTTTTTATATGCCAATATGCTGACAGACGGAGCGCATACTGGGAGATATGAATACTGTTGTGACTGGCGAGTCCCGTTGAAGTTCAAACCTGTTGAAAATGTCTGTACCGGTAGTTTATTTACAATTATGCACAATTTTGGCTGGAACGGTTCAAAAGGGGAGGGGCGTGGTTGTGAAAGAAGAGGGGTGTAATTGTTCCCAATCTGAAAAATGTGTGCCCCACTTGACCACCGTTCTAGACATCCCTGCCAATTCAACTCCCATAGAAATCTGGCTGAGTGGTTAAGAAAAACACAAGTTCTCTTTTTGACAGTTAAAGAAAAAAGTAAAAAGAGTGACTATGGGCTCCGTGCGCCAACGAAAGAGGGCGCCCTTTTACCTAGCAATGACGTCCCATGGGCGGGACATTTAGCTGGTTGACGCGCACCGTTCCTTGTGTGTGACGCACGTACACCAGGGGATTTGTACAATATGCACGCAGCGGTACGGCCGTGCATCGCGACAAAATTGCAGTCAGGCAAGATGGCGTCAGTCGGTCAACCCCAACCGTACTTTCTTTGCCGGTGAGGGGGTACTTGTGAATGCAGCGGAAATGGCCGTGCAACTGCAGGAACTCCTTTACCAGCATTCCACCAACTGAGCTACCTTGCCCCGTGTTTGAGGTCCCCCAATTTGTCATCCCCTATGTTCATACACACCCATAGTGCTGCAACATTTTCTTGAAGGAGCATCCTTAAAATGCTAGCCCTATTGAAGCCAAATGTGCTGTTGGAAGTGGGTTTTATTGTACCAAATCTGAACTTGTATCCTCTTCGGAAATGTTTTGCTCTGAATGAAGGCGACCTTCTTCCCCTGCCCTCCACCCCCTTAGCTCGTCATCTCTTATCCTGGAGGTAATTGCTATTTGACAACATTAGTCTGGATGGCCTAATTGAATCCTTCCCTTCAAATCTTGTAGTCCTAACTTAATTTCTTCAGGTGGATGGTGTACATTCAGCTTAAAATGAGTGCCAGTCAAAGAATGACTAAACCAGTGAAGGAAAACGTGACTTCAGAGGTCTTCAGGTGTCTTTGAGAGGACATCATTTTGAGATTTTTCTTCAGGGAGAAAATTAACCCCCAGATCACTACATGTACTATTGTACATGATGTACAGTATGTTGCGATATTGCTTCTGTGATGTGAAAAGTTTTGGAAAACGTTTTTACTGTCTAGAAATTGTATTTGAAATTCAACATCTTTCATTGATGAAATGGGGTTTATGTCTTATCAGGGATTTCTCAGTCCAGAAAATTATCTAAGAAAGTGAAAAGATCTTTGGACCTATAATCCCTGAAGACCAAAATAAAAAGGATGTTTTTGGACCTGAACTCAACATGTGTATGTACATGTCAAGAGTTTATTTCCAAAACACGATCAACGCCATTTTGTTACCTTTTACAATCTCGCCCAAGTCAGGCTAGCCTAAGTCATTTCGACGGCTGTTATATATAGTTGAACACAATTTAAGAATACAATAAAGCAAAAAATTAAGTTTAGAAACAGCTGTTATTATATTTGTTGTATTCTTTAAAGCTTCATTACAGTGTTCATTTTTCACTTTTTTTATCAAATGGATGTATCGCGTTGTAGTACGAGTACACTTGTTGAAAAGTAAATGTAAACCCCGTATAAGATTCAATGATTAAACCTATTAGCCCTACACTGCCCAAAACTGCTGTGCCTGTAACTCCCTGCACCATGTCTAACTATCTGGGCACTTCGAAGATATGGATTTGTTGGGGTACGTACATGTACCTAACAATAG